TGCGCAGGCTGGTCTGGATCCATGCTGGTCGCAAACCCACTATGTTGCTTTTGTCATGGCGCGGCTCATATATTCTTCTCAAGAAATGACAAAAATGTATTTTACAATGTTGTATCATAGTTTGGGGACCTTTCTGTTGAAAATGTGTCAGAGTTAAATCGTATACATATGTTCACAGTGTGTTAACTGGAGTGCAGGTATTAGTTACCCGCACTCCATAGCATGCCCATTGATTGGCTCATTTTTGCTGGGGTTTACATATTGTGACGGCACAGAAATGGAAAACGACAGAAATATCATATTCAGATGTTCGTTCCCCCTCGTACAAATCAGATAGCCTCGTGTTTCGATGCTCTTTCTATTACTTGTAATACAGGATTAAGGTGGTTAACGCTGGAAGATGAATGATTTATTTTACACGTAGCAAAAAATGTAAAAAAACGTGATACTTTGTTTTCCATTCAAAATACTAAGTCACTAAAAAATAAAACATCACTGATAACAATATAAAATAAATGTCAGCATCAAATATTACATTGTCGAATTGACGGCTTTTTAAAACCTTTATTTCTTTATATTTTCTAAATATTGAGAAATTTCCCTTTAATATTCAGGGAACTTATTATTGATATAGATAAACACATTTTATTGATATATTCACCTCAGTTAACTATTTGTACCTGTTACCTTAAAACAATTATTCATCTGGTTATGCTTAAAAAATCATGTTTTATCATGTTTATTTCTTCATGTTCATTTTTTGCATTAACCCTTAACTTTTCAAAAGTGACAAGTAAAGTTTATTCCATAAAAAACATAAGTCTTTACCAATAAACTGCCATGTAACGCAATGCTACTTGTCTTAAGTTATATTACGTATGATTACGTATAATTCCCTTCTACCATTTTATCACTAAATACCTATTTTTTTCTTTTATTTTTCTTAAAATGCACTGAACTTTTGAAGCAAATAAAAACAAGTCTGAAGGTCATCAAATCAGATTTTTACTTCAATTAAATTTCCAAAATATGTACTATTCTACAGCTTCTTTAGAAAGTTTAACAAATACGAAGGAGTATAAGCATTATCATATATCAACAAAGCAAATGTTATAATATTTTTTATTCAATTACAACAATAATAGCTATAGCATATACATTAAATGGTCTGTAATTGAAAGCTGTGAAACAAGAATTATGACTGGATGTTCTAGTTATGGACTTCAGAATCTAAAAATTGTAAACGAACTTTTTTACAGTTTAATTGTGAATTTTCATAACAACAAAAAGAAATAAGAACTCTTAAACCGTAAAATTTATATTGATAATTTGTAATAAAACATGAATCAATATAACTTGAAATGAGTTCAATTAAATACTGTATCATATTTTAAAACTTTAGTGTTTTACAACTTTACATGGAATCACGTGTGTACTTTTATATTTAGTGGATGTAGACACTCAAACATTTTAAAATTCCATGTTAAAAGAATTCCACTGAGGCCCCAAAGCCGAAATACACAAAAATTGAAATTCCTTCGTCGGCAGAACTTAAAACAGAAAAATATGCAAAAGGTAAGAAATATACTCAGAAATATATTGAAATTCGTATTTTTGTGTTATTTGAGTGAATTTAATTTTTTTTTTTTTGTCATTTTTTTTTCAAAATTCAAATAATTATTCTGAAAAAAAAACGAAGTGAGCGAACGATCTGAAATATATATACACACACAAGATATAGTCTAGATCTTGAAAAATAATAATGTCAGTGCCTTCAAGTCAAAACACCTTAGTGTAGTCCTTTTAACGCCGGACTTTTCCATAATATGAAATAGATGTTATGTTTACGCTAGATGTAAGAGATGTTGATATTTTACAATTTTGTCTGCATTACAGTAAATGTCTGTTCGTACATTTTAGAGAGAGAGTTCTTATTAATATGCACTTCAGGCATAGGATAAGACAAATTATAAAAAAAAATAATTGCCGGGGAAACTCACGTAATAACAAGGAAACGTAGAGTGCATCTAAGAGAAATATTGCTGACTCTTTCTATAGTGCGATAACAGCTTTAAGTCGCTAGTTTAAGTTACCAGAGATCAATATTATTTTTATCTTCTAAACAAACCGGAAACAAGTACCCGATAATAACAATATTTGCCTTGATTGTGTTCATAACGTAAAATATATTCTTTTTCATGTACTTGATAGTTGTAAAAGAATACGACAATCAATTCTTAGAAAAAGCTTTTTTTCATGATAATCGTTCTACGTAATGCTTTAGTACACATAATTGTGACTGGTTCTGGATGGCAACATAATCATACAATTGATAAGACTATTTACATGTCTACACTGCCTGCTCTAAGCCAACTCAAATGGAGAATTTAATACCACATGATTACAAAAAGGAGAAAAAGATGGATCCTTGGATGAACATCATTCGCTATGTTTCATTCCGGGTAACCCATATAATTATAGCATTGAAATACAATTTTAATGTACAAAGCTCAAAACCAGTGTGCAGGTTCCTGCGGAGGAAACAATATTCGGAGAAGAAAAATAGCTCTGTTGTTCAGGAACACATATATTTCACTAAAAAAATCTAAGAATACCCGGCTGACATTTTGGAAATGCTTATGCTTTAAATAATGCTATAATTGTATGTAAAAAAAAACAAACTATTATTTCAATCGTTCATTTTATATTTTACTTCTATTCATGCATGTGCTCTATAGTTTTGGGTTTATAATTGCTTCTGTTTTTATATAATATTCAATAATCACATGCATAGTCCGATTTTATTGACCTGTCAATTACAAATACCTTATAGTACTCATTAAAACAAACAAACATGCGTGTAATTAGCAGCAGCGTGGTTTATGCTGAGGAAATTTCAAATGTTTTGCATATCTGCAAACGCTTTATCTGCAGTAATGAAGTTGTGAAATGTTTTGCATAATTATTGTCATACTCATTATAAGCCAAACTGCCATTACTGCCGAGCAACGTTAAAAGCCTTGCATATTAGAAATTGAACTGGCCAAAATCTTACAATATTTTCTAATTTATAAATGCTAAGCAATTAGTTACTCTGGCTCCACTTTTGTGGATATTATACGAGTATGTCGCTATTGCATGCTCCTGTAAGAGAAAAAATATGAATATTTATGAAGTTTTATTATTGGTGTAGAGAAAAAAGCTATTATAAAAATGAATGCCAGTTTGTTGTTTAGTTTGTGACAATTATGGGTCAGGTACTGTCTTACTGCAAGAAAATAAAAGGTCAACATCAGACTGCTCCAATCAAAATACTTCATACAAATGGAAGGTTTAATAAATAGTCAAAAACTCATTAACCATAAACACATTACAAAAAACTAACATTATTATATACTAGAAATTAGCCCATAGGACACGGGTGCCCCCACACTTACTGTTTAGTCAATCTTATGACTCTAGGTCAAATATTTTTGGGCTACATGTGCCACAAGTTGAAAACTAAAAATCGTTTACTATTTCAAAACAAGAACTTTACAAATACTGAATAAATTCACAAGCAAACCTCAAAGGTGCATACGCACATGGCTGACCAACATTCTTGTAAACTTTCAGACCTACAGGTCAAATATTTTTTTAGTAATGCATGAACAAGTTGCAAATTGCAAATTTATACCAAGTCAAGGGCAATAACTCTTACAAAACTGAAAAAACACATGCATAACCCCAAGTGCATAGCTTCACAGTACATTGATGTTGATCATTATTCCTGTAAAATTGGATGATTCTAACTCAAGCACTCGAGAGTAAATAACACAACATAATTGAACGGTTTTCACTAAGTCAAGGACAATAAATCTGACAAAACAGAATAAATCCACAAGTGAAGCCCCAGGTGCACAACTTCACATGCTGAGCAACATTCCTTTAAATTTTCAAGACACTAGATCAAATACTTTTTGAGTTACGTGCGACACAAGTTGAAAATTGTAAATTTTTACGAAGTTAAGGGCAGTAACTCAAAAAATACTAAACATATCCACATGAAAATACCCAGGTACACAACTGCACATGCTGATCAACATTCCTGTAAATTTAAATGACTCTAGGTCAAATACTTTTTGAGCTACATGTGACACAAGTTGAAAATTGCAAATATTAACTAAATCAAGGGCAATAACTCTAACAAAACAGAATCAATCCACAAGCGAAACCCCAGGTGCACTACTAGACATGCTAAGCAACATTCATGTAAGGTTTTATGACACTAGGTCAAATACTTTTTACGATATGTGCGACACAGTTTGAAAATTGCAAATGTTTACTAAGTCAAGGGCAATAACGCAAAAGATACAAAATATATCCAAACAAATATACCCAGGTGCTAAACTTCATATGCTGATCAACATTCCTATAAGGTTTCATGACACTATGTCGAATACTTTTTGAGTTACGTACGACACAAGTTGAAAATTGTAAATTTTTACTAAGTCAAGGGCAATAATTCTAAAAATACTAAAAATATCCACACGAAAATACCTAGGTTTACAACTACACATGCTGAGCAACATTTTTATAAAGTTTCATGACACTAGGTCAAATACTTTTTGAGTTACGTGCGACACAAATTGAAATTTGTAAATGTTTACTAAGTCAAGGGCAATAACTCTAAAAATACTAAATAATGTAATGTTCATAAAGTTTAACCTCAATAAGACACTTTCCTCATGGAAAACTCTACAACTATGGCACAGAAATTTCCTTCTCACACACAATGTACAACAAAATTTAACATGTACACACTATACTCTCACAGACACACGGTTTTATGAGAGTCGATCCTCTTCTTGGTACGCACTTGTATACACCATGAATAAATCTATTTTCCAAACCGTACGTCAAAATATTACTATAATCTCATGAAATATCATAAAATATCACATTATTTCATTTTGTTTGTATATATACATGTATATATCAACAAAACTAAACATCCAAAGCTCGTGTAATCTATTTGTGAACTTGCTTTAACCTGAAGTATCGCTGAAGGGCTTATTGCAGACGATACGAAAGTAAACTGTAGACAATGTGTTATTTATCCAAGCACAAAATTTGCTCTCGTTTGTAAATGTTATCATCTTTAAATGTGATGAATCTATGTTCGTTTTCATTTTGTGTTTACGCACGTTACGATGGAGAATTTTAAAAGTATAGCGTATGCAGTCGTGTTTATTCTACACATTTTCAAGGTAAGTTCCGTATGTGTTTTAATTCAAATAAATCTTTTAAGTGTATAGAATGATTAAAAATGATCCTTTACATCATTGTATAAACTTTCAATATTTTATGTTGCCGTTTGGACGGTTTCTAGGGATTCTCTTATTTCTTTCTTTTACCAATTATAATTTATTTTTAAAAATATTCATTCTATGTTTGTCTAAATAAACGTATTTAAATGTATAATGATGTAATTGATATAACATTGAATAAAAGGTAACTTATGCATGATTTTCAAAACGATTCATTACTATTAGCACTTGTATAAAAAAGCAAATCCCTAAGGACGTGTAATTATATAAACAAAATTTTTAAAAGAAAACATAAAAATACAAAACAAAAAATAATAAACCAAAAAAATGCCTTAGCATGTGTTGTGATATTTAAAGGCAATGCTTTAGCATGTATTATGACAATAAAAAGAAAATCATTTAGTTTAGTAAGGGTCGTCCATGGCCGAGTGGTAAAGGTCGTTGACTTCAAACCCCATTCCACTAATACCTGTAGGTTCTATCCTACCTTTTTATATTGATAAGCGATTGAATAGTTATAAAGTAAAAAAAACATATATATCAAATAAAGTAAGATTACTGTTATCGTAGCTTTATGTTATGTTAATAGTACAATGTTGAACTAAGTCTACTGTGTGCGCGATACGCGACTTGTTCATATTGTATAATTCATTTTAAAAGGTATACTTAGTGTGTTATACACGCGCTCTTGATGATAATCGATGTACTACAGCGATATATATGTTTGGCAAACATCTAATGATCCCTATTTAAAGATGAAATATTATCTAATATAATTGTATACTATGTGGGTTATACTCGTTATACTTTTTTCATGACATTTTGTCAATATCCGTAGCGAGCGACGTAGTATTTAAGATAGGCTTGCGCTCACAAAGTGTCATAGCCTGGTCGGTATGCAAATTTTGAATAAAAGTATAACAAGTTAAAAAAGTTTTCTGCATGGGAAAGGTTATTTAAAGAAAAGTTTTAATAATTTAAAGATTTTTCATTTAACTGTTTTCGAAATTGTTTTTGGAAACCTTTTCTAGTAGTAGTTATTAATACATGTATATAGTAGACAATAATCGATCTTTGAAAATCGGCGACTGTCGAAGTCAGGAGACCGTAGAGGGTCGATTAGTAGAACGTCTGTCTGTATCATTCAGGCGTTTGAGATTTGTTTGTACAATAATATATGCTTAGTTTTTTTACATGAAACATTATCTAGAAGATGTTCTAATTATAGCCCCTTGGTCATACCGGTAATTGGCCCCAGGGGGTCATGGTTTTTCCTTATATCGTAAATACTTCAAAAATCTCCTGGTTGAAAAATTGCAATGTTTAAATCCTACGATATATATCATGAAACATAAACAAGTGAACCTCAACAAAAATTATTCAAATTATAGTAGAAAGTGCATCCTAAGAGCTAGTCCTTGTTATAGCAACCATTAACTTCTCATAGCAACTGGCGCCTTTCCATTACAGCAAATGTCTTTCCATAGCAACCAGTAACTTATAATTAAACCATTGACTTTCCATAGCAATCATTTGTGAGTCTTAATTCGAACCACCACGGGAACATAGATTTTCTATACATGTTACTTCTCATAGCAAAAAGTGTCTTTCCATGGCAACCATGGACTTTCCATAGCAACCAGTGACATCCATAACAACCATTGACTCTCCATAGCAATCGTTATTTTCCATAGCAACTGCTTGCTTTTATAACAACTATTGACTGTCTTTATCAACCATAAAATTTCATAGTTACCGGTGACTTCCTATAGCAAGCAATGAATCACATAACATCCATTAACTTTCCATAACATCCAGTGCCTGTCCATGACAACCATTGACTTTCTATAGCAACCAGTAACCATTGACTTTCCATATCAACTAGTGACTTCTATATATGGCAACCACTAAGTTCCCATAGCAACCAGTGACTTTTTATTGCCACCATAGACTTCTTTAGCATCCAGTGACATTCCATAACATCCAGTGACTTGGCATAGTGGCCACTGCCTTTCAATTGCAACCAGTGATATATATTGGAATCATTGACTTCCTTTGCACTGACCGTATTTCCATAGCAACTATAGACCTGTTATGGCAACCGGTGAAATTCTACAGCAACAATTGACTTCTATAGCAAACAGTGACTACAAATAGCAATTAGTGACTCCCATAAATTGACGTTCCATAGCAACCATTCACTTTTCATTACAACCATTGACTTTCTATAACAACCCTTGACTTTCAATAAAAACTGTTTGCTTTCCATAACAACCATTGACTTCTATAGTAACCAGTGACTTCATAACAGCCATTGACTTTTAAAAGTAAACTGTATATTTCCATAGCAACAAGTGCATCGTACAGCAAACGTTTACTTTTCTTAGCAACATGTGAATCTTCCATTGAATTTCATATCTTACAATGCCTTCCAAGGAAACCACTGGTTTTGTATATCCATCAGTGACGTCTTTAGAAACTATTGTTTTTCCTTAGCAAAAGCAACCAGTTATGTTTTTACACATGCACTATTTCAGATAAAATATAAACTTTAATAAAACATGATACCAGTTTTAGATTTAGATTTTATTTTCGCTATCGCTTGAAGTTTATAATAACACCCGTTCCTTATAAGGCCTATTCGTGCCCAGCCCCCCCCCCCTTGTTTAAATAGTGGTAGAAAGAAGCTTATTAGATGTGTAATACAGAAAAAGCGTAGAGTGGAGTGTGAATTTTTAAACATAAAAATATCCAGCAATGTAAACAAAGTATTATTATATCCATACAAAATACTAATTTACTATTATTGTACTATATTCCCAGAAAGCAACAGAAGCAAAATATGATTCAGATAATATTAGAAAATGAGTAATTCTTTAGAAACTATTACAGGACACTTAAAATAATTTAAAAAAAACTTTTGAGAAATAGAAATAAAAGCGTTCCTAGGGCATAATTTGCTTTTAAACATAGGTAAAATGTCGCATGTAATGCAGCTACCGTAGCTGGCTTAACACAACCATTAAGCTAATATATTAACTAATATATTTAAATGTTTTGTCATTTTTCTCAAATAAGATATATTAAGGTCATTTCGAAAATGATATTTTTTTCTACAGGACAACAGATTATTTACATCAGAAGAAAGTGCTTCTATACAACTAAAGGTGATGTCGATCAAGTCTTCAGGATTATCTTCGGATGTTACTAAAATTAGTATTACTTATGTCGCTTCCCCTGACCATTACGTGTCCTGGATTGGTCCGAGAGAAGATGGTAGAACATGGCACGGTATATCTAGTTTATTTGTGATTTGAAATGATTTTTTCAATTTTCTACAACCCACTTCAAGTTTTATGCCCATATTCTGCTTATTGCCCATTGAATGTCTTTTTTGTGTATAAGGTAATGAAGTCCATGCACGTTGCTCTATAGCTCCGATCTATAGCCTCTTATTTAATATTATTTTGTCGTTTGCACTGAATCACCTGTTCTTCGAATAAAAACAAAACGAAATGGGTAAGACAATAAAACCACAAAAAATTTAGTAAAAATGAGATAAATAGAATAAAAGGTATACATGTATGTGATATATTCGAGAAATATAGACCTGGTTATTGCACAATATATTGTTTATTTGAATTTCAGGTGGTATAAAAACACAGACCATGCCAGGAAGTGAAGTATATACTGCTTCTGTCAATGTGGTAAATCTTACTTCTCTTCGTTCTATTTACTTTCGACTGTTTAACGAAGAACAGACCATATCGTTACAGATTAACACCATTGCTGTAGAAACACCACAAGAACAGGACGTCAAACAACCACATTCAAAACTTCTTGAAATGGACACCATCTTCATGGGACCAAACACTTCGGATTTAACAATAACAGGTGTTATAAATTTTAATGTTTCATTCATGCATCGTTTTTCTCCAATTGAGGTCTATTTTGAAGGCCTCAACACAAGTGCAGACCCACCCACATTCTTTGAAAAATTCGACTTTGATTTTGATAATAATTCTGAAATAAGTGTAAGCTTTTCACAAAGATCAAATAAAACAACCAATTGTCATATAAAACTTGACCGGAATATCGTTAAATATGGCGGCTTTCTAACAATTCTTGTGCCATATAAGGAATCTTCAAAAGACAGAATGGTTGACAAATATTCAAGGGGCACCACTGTTAAAATTTATCCTTACGGCACTAAAGACATTCTACCATACAATGAAGTCGGAACAATCCCACTAAAAAATCAGACAGTTATTTTTCCACCATCTAGTAGAATAAAGTGTTTAGCGATTGGAAACCCACGACCTACTGCTTCAATTTTTAAGAAAGTAGATAATGGTGGGTATAAAAAGCTGGCAACAGAAACTTCTTATCTGGACAGGTACTCAAACCTTGAAGTACTTTCATTGTCATCAAATAAACAGACACACGAGGGTCGTTATATTTGCAGGTTAGTTAGTTATTTCAATAAACATTATTGTTACATCATATGACACTTTTTACACCTAAAACAATTATTTACTGTTTTTACGACGTCAGACACCATCACGCCATGACGTCATTACATTTTGCGATATGTCACTTTTAAAATGTACATGTACATATGGGCTTTACAGTAAATGCAATATTAAGGATATGCGAATATGTGAGGTAAACAATGCGCAATTAGAAAAACTTTTGATGTCGTGATGTAAGATGTTCTTTAAAATAAATTCATATTATATAGTAGCATTGTTTAATTTCGCTTTTATTCTTCGTATAAGGGCATCAAATGGTGATAAAACAGTGGAATCTGAAACTGACGTTGTCATGCTCACAAAAGCTATAATCGACGAATCTATGACCGGTGTTTTAGAGAACTCAAGCACAACTATCATTGTTTCTTGCAAGGCCACAGGAAAGCCGAGACCAGAACTTGAATTTCGTTTGTATGATGAATACGGTCCTTTTATGATACGATCTGGATTGTTCAAGGTAATCCATTCAACAAGATGTTACTGTAATTGAATTATAAGTCATTCACAGTCTGGCAACAATTTTAAACGACCTTAAACTCAAAATTATTATACAAAAAAAATTGTAGTTCCCCTCGACCAGCTGTTAACAAATTAAAATGATAATCATAAACCCACATAGGTCTGATATTTCTTTCTTCTGACCTCGTCCAATGAGTGATTTGTAAGCTACAGAAACTGAATGATTTTTGTTTTGAAATAGATAATGGTCCAAATCTTTAAATAACTCTTAAACAATTACTTCTTTGATTTCGCTCTAGAATATACATACTCTTTTGATTGTCCTTATCTTGTCAACATTATGTAGTTAGCATTGTTGGGTTACAACTTGCATATGTTTCTATTTATACATATATATATATATATATATATATATATATATATATATATATATATATATATATATATATATATATATATATATATATATATATATATATATATATATTTTGCAGACTTTGGAATCGAAAACAGGCGATTACGCATCGCAAATAACCTTAACGTTGTCAGCTGTCGAGGATGTTGATATTCATACCGTTTATTGTTACGCTGCACAGGGCGATAAGAACAGAAGTTTTGAAATAAGCAAGAAAATTAACATTTTCCCTGAAGGAAGAGATGTTAACTGGAATCTCTACAACCAAATTCGAGAAAACGAAATGTTTCAATAGATAGTTCGTATCCATAACCAACAATATATGAATGCAGACCGAACTGGGTCTTTTTGTTCTTTGTTGTTGGGTTTAACGTTGCACCAACACTGGAGATGTAATACTGGGCTTTCCATGTCCAGCTTTACTGGTGGAAGTAGACTTCATTACTTACGCACGACTGGGCACCTTAATAGAACCACCAAAATTCCATAAGCTAGCTGGATAGCTTCGTCACATGATTCCAATGTTCCTGGTTGGCTTTCCCAATGTAACATGCTATGAGATTAATAATCTGAGCAATACGGACATATATTTAGTACCCAGCAGAACATATCATCAACCAGTCAATTATAGTATTTCCGCTAGGTACAAGTCCTATTGTACAAAATACTATTACAGTATAAATACAGAAAATTTTGAATGCACAATATAATAATATGCGCAGAGACCATGAAACAGCATAATGAAGTCCCTGTTCGTTCCTAATGTAAAGCGTATACTAGAAACATAGTGTTTATTTGTCTTGATATTGCTCAACATTTTTAATGTTTTCAAAAAAAACTATAAAATTATTATATTTAGTGCATGTTTAGTAAATGCACCGAATAAACTATTTTTTTACTAAGTTATACTCGGCTTCATTTTATATAATGAACTGTTTGGTATAATGTCTAAACTCAGCGAGTTTATCATGGTCATATATTATTTCAACACTAGATTAATCAAAGTGCTGCAGCACTGAATGCGACGGACATGCAACCGGAGAGACATTAAGGCTTCTTTTAGAAAAAACAAAACAAAAACAAAACACAAAATATATAACAGAGAAAATTCGTTCCATACAAGTTCGAGATTTGTAGAGCAATACATTTTGTGTCCCAAACTGATATAATTCAGATTTTCTACTTTCAAGCACTTAAATACAGAATGAAATTTATGCCTAAAAACTCTGGTCAAACTTGTAAATCAGTGTCCTTATCGATTTATTCCAAGAAATGATATGTAAATAGAAAAAAAAAACTGTCAACGAAATATTTCTAAAATAAAACCAGGCAAATAAACTTCAAACATAAATTATACATTATACATTTGAGAATGCTATTTAGAATTGCTTCGTGTTATATCATAGTGGGCATATAGACAATAAAATATATGTCATTTGTATTTTTTTATGTCTCATTATAAAAAATTTTGGTTAAAATCATCAGCAATTAATAGTGTATTTTTTAGATTTTTTTGATTTACAAGGTAAAGATGTAGAGGCCAGAGCACATCGTTTTTATTTTAATTTAAATGTCACTTAAGCACTACAGTGTTTAGTTGTCCTTTTCAATTTCACACTAAATTCCATTTTCAACTTGTTTGCTTCTTACAATTGTATAGAATTTCTAAAAGTATTGGTTATTTACATGTATAATGTGTACTCCCTAATCGTCTGTCCAAAAATCAGAACAGGTGAAGCAGAATCTATTTTTAGAATAGCGAAGGTTAACTCATATCATGACCTAGAAAAAATATGTAAAAAAACCACAAGAATCGGAAGTAGAACTGATATTATAACTTCCTTACCATGAAAGACTACATGGCGGTCAAGGTTGAAAAACTCTCTTCTTGCATGCATTTTCAAAAATAGATATTTATACTAACCATTGTACTGTATCTAAGATATTAATAACTGCTTAATATTCAGCTAAACCCGCGGTATGAGTCATGAAAATAGTTCTTCTTTTATTAATGCGCGAGTTATCCTAGAGTCACGAAAAACTTTTGATTAACTTTCGATTTGTTAATAATAATGTTTTGTATAATGAAGAAATATTTATTTCCTACTAATAATGTCTTGGAACTCAGAGGTTACACCTTTATTGTAGTATAATTTGCTGTCCTACTTTTTCAACAGCGGTAAATCGTTTCGGCAGTAATTTGCATATTGCGCAATAATACTACAGTACTACAACATTTTTATCAATAATATACGTTCATATTTTAACTTGGATAACTTAATTTGAAATTGAAAGGGCTAAATATGGACGATTTTTAAGATATCCAGACAAAGTATGGGAGTTTTTGAAAAGGGATCAAATTCATGTACTATTTTCTTGGGCTGTTAATCGGTTTAGGACACACTGCGCGATTGTAGCCAACGAATTTCCCCCATGGAGATGAACTTAGCTCTGAACGCGCCTGAGGGCGCGTCCGTCGCAAAAAATTAAGAGTGGAAAGTGTATACATTCATAAAAACTCTAGCCTAATAAACTATAATGAAGCGCAATATTGCTTGTTCTTTGAATTAAATAAAAATATTATTTCCTGCCAACTGAAAACAAATCAGTTTTTTTTGTAAACGGGGCATTGAACTTTTGAAGCAAATGTTAGTATGAAAATGGCAATTTGTTTGAAAGTCATCAGTCCACGTTTGTATTTTTATTAATTGAATCATTTTTCCCAAAAGATATAGTAACACATTATCTATTTCATGTATTAAGTGTATGTATATTAGCAGAAAATTACAGAGAGAAAATACTCAAGGAGATATATTGTTGTGTTAAAGATTTTAATTTTTGAATATTTTATCTTTATGTTTCCAACAAATAAAAGGATTTAAAGATAGAGATTTTTAACTAACATATTTGTACAACCAAAAGCCAAACGCAAACTTTGAATAATATTTACCCACATGAATAAGATGTAATTCACTGTAGATTAACGAGATTCTGACGTTAGGATAAGAAGGTGATTCAGGTCAATATCTGAAAAAGCGCATATTACTGGCTTCTTCTGGCAAATTCGATTAACTTTATTAATGCATTACCAGGGCTGGGAATCAAAACTGCGTCGTATCCTACAAAATGTAAACAAACGCCGCCATCTTGGAACGAAAAAGGTATGTTTTTGTTTATAACTCTTTTTGTTGGAAATGACTGAATTAACACGCTTCACATTTTTCCGCTTCGTTCGGTAAATGTTGTTTGTACAACTATTCTGTAAAACAAAAGTTATAGCGAACTTGCAACTCGAAGCGGGCCTGAATTGTTATGAAATTTTGTGGATACGACGCAGTTCATATTGCTTTATCAATCGTTTTTTCCTTTAAATCAATTATTTACCCCTTTCAGGGTTCACCATAAACTTCAAAATATAATTTTGCATCATGTACTAAGATTTCATTAAAAAGAAATGTTTATTTTTTAAGAAAATAATAATATGTACGAAATGATACGACGCAGTTGAAAATAAAATATGATACGACGCAGTTGTATTTTTGGCAGTCTTTGCAACAGGGATAATTTCGGCAATATATGTCTATCTTACCGGATACTCACTTGTGCTAGATAAAAAGAAACTAAGATCATTCGCAGTTAGCATAGTTCTGATGCTTTTGATTATTTAGAAAGCATTGTGTCATGTCCAATTTACATTGCAGAAGCTACTTTTCAGGTAAACATGAACATGTTACTTTATTTATCATAATATATGAAATATTTTATTTTATTTTCTTGTATGTTCAATATAATCCGTATTTTATTTTGGCAAAATATAGAAGTCTATGAATTTGAATCACAAAATTCATTTTGTCTAGCTACGCTCTTAGTAAACTGTGGGTCTGCGTGTTCTAGGTGATGACTGCTTTTTTTGTGGATTTATTTTCAAACTTTCAGTCTACACTTTAGTTTCACTGGGGTAAGAGCCTCAGGTGCGCCTTTGTGCATTCTTTCAGGCAAAATTCACGTTTAGAGAACAATTAGCACACGAGAGAATCAGAAGTCCCTAGTGGTTTTCAAATTCACAGCAGTTAAGTGCAAGTGATTTGAAGTCAGTAAACATAAACAGCTCGGCCTCGGTCGGACATACCACTGATTTTTTTCCGACAAATTTGTTAACCATGGTCTTAAATGTCAGCCGTACAAGAATAAACTTCTGGCATGAAGTTTTAAGATTACAATTACTTGTATTTAATTAATTATAAAGATAATAACATTTAAATTTCTTGTTAAAATGAAATATTTTTTCTTACTCTTTAAGATCACTTTCGTTTTAAAAAAGGATGTGTCAGTGTTGAGAAAAGCAGAGAATTTTTCAATGTAAAACATGAGGTAATCCTCTTTGAAGACTTTTTCTGAAGAAAAAAAAGAAAAAAGTTTTATGTGTCAGGCAATTCATTATCAAATATAAATCACACTTTAGTATAAAGGTATGGTAAGAACCTTCTCTTTACTCTGTGGAAATTCAGTGCGATAATCTGACCTAAAATAGAGTGAAATAAGAATCCCTAAAGAAAGCACAACGCGGCAAAATTGAAAATGTTGCAGCTTCGGTTTGATTGAGCCTGTTCATGGACGGTACTGTCAAGTGAAAAACTACCGTCCACGCCCCTAGCACCGGCTTTAAGCAGAATTCAACATTTAACATGAACTGGTAAAATTTAGAATTTTGAAACATCCGCAGATGTGTTCATATGGCGGTTATCATGGAACCTTCAATGTGACACGTTAGTGCCATTCCATGAAAAGCGGCATATGGTCCCCAAGTAAAAAAATGTGTGTGCCCTAAACGAGAAAACAATGGGCGGAACTAAATAAAATGGAATTTTGAAAGGGGATCTGAGGTTATGAAGCCTGCATATCACAGATATAAAGTCAAAGGACAAATTTAAAAAGCAGGCCTCATATCCTAAGGGTGATTAAACAGTATTCAAGTGAGGAATACTGGAACCACCCAACAAGAAAGATGCCAAATATATAGAACTAAAATACCACAAGCACAACAATAATGTCGTTCTGAACGATCTTTAAGGATCGGAAATATAACATCCCTGATTGAATGTACGGGGCGACTTTTTACAGCCTCCACACGGCACAAACAACGCTGATGTGGCGATAAAATAGAGTGAAATAAGAATCCCTAAAGAAAGCCCAACGCGGCAAAATTAAGTTTTCTCATCCCGGCTTTAATGTAACATAGGAAAACTTCTTCAATACTATTGAAACATCATGTCGTACATATATCTGTATCAAATTTATCGATGCAAAGCGTAAAATACCCTTTGTTATGTATGCAACATATTACATGTATATAATTTATATCTGACCAGTTGGTATTTCCAATATTATCATTGTTCTATTTTTAGAACATAAACTACATGTATGTACTAGAATGTTCTTAACTGTTGTAGAAAACTCATGCATTATATTTAGATAGAAATTTCTGGAATGATCTTTATTGTTGAAGTTGCTAGATTATGATTACTCAAGTAAATAAAAGACTATTCTATAAACTTCTTAGTCAATATATATAAGGAGACATTTTTCATTACTCTTACCTTTTTAAGTCATCAGTGATCTATTAAGTCATCATTCAACTTGGATATTAAGTGAATTATTGGAGCTTGGATTTTAAAATAAATTATTCTTGTTGATTTTATTGTGGGAATTTATTCTAAAGTGTTCTTGGATTTAACTTGGATTTAACTGTGCTATTCAAAAAGGATCATTCCAGGATCAGACTAGACATTTGTAATTTTCATTTTTATTTGGACTTCAGGTATTTGTAAACATAATTTGTTATTTTATTTTTCTTTAATAATTTTTCTGTAATAAATTTGTTATTGTTACAAGTTTGTTGCTGGCTTTTCTTTCTCGTTACGCCTGGCTCGTAACAGAAATTGGGG